CTTAAAGCATTCCAGACAAATGCTTGTCCAGATCTTAATAAACCCCAGTGATAGAGCAACAATAACTCTGGGATGCAAGCTAGAAGTAATAGTTACTTATTCAAATATTTACAAAAAGTATGTTAATTATACTATAAAATGATTTTTTTAAATAAATGTGGATATTATTATATCAACAGGACCTCAGCTAGTCAGAATTAACTAGTTGCATTGCAGCACAACTAAAATCTTACTTTTCTAAGTCACAGAATTTCAATTAATAAACATATTTAGGCAAATATTGCAATATTGTAGAAGAGGTTCAGCATGAAGGGAAGAATATCGTGCCTGAAACTTTGTCCCTATCAATCAACTGAAAACAGGTTTAATTCAACCATCCAGTTTTCTTTCAGATCAATAATGTTTACAATTTGTCATAGTAGTTCAACAAAGCTGTATCCTGAACAGGTTTTCTATAAATGGAATGGAGTCTGATCGAGCACAGAATATTTATTTATGTCTTCTTTATTTTGTGGAATTTTTGTAACACCCATTTAAATGTGATAACTATACAAATCAAAACAAAAAAATCATATCTGAATAAATAACTCCCAACTCCTTAAAATTAATTCTGAAAACATTAATAATGAAACAAGTATACTTACCCCAGATGCCCATAAATATTGCAAAAAAGAGGGTTGCCACGTTGTCAAACAAATGGGAATACTAGAATTGAAAAACAGGCATTATCCATTGAGTAATACATGAAACAGTGTGTATTTTTGAAAATACAAATGCTGTAATTGTTACAAACCTGTGAAGACTCACAAGTAGAATTCAGCCTCCAGTAATCACATTTTCGATCACATAATGGACACATGATAATTTCTCCACCAATACTTGGATTACATATTTCTTTGCTGAAGAGGATGGACAAAGATGTAGTATATTTAATTAAATGGATTAAAGGAATAATAGTGCTTGTTTACAATCAGAATTAACCTCTGCCTTCCAGTACATACTATGAAACTGTATCTGAGCCATTATTATGGCATAGATTAGAGTTCTGCTACTGGATCATAGATCTGTGCTGAAATATACACAAATCAGCTCATCACGTTAGGCCAGAATCCTTATATAAAATAATACATCAAGAAAGAAAGAAAAGAAAAAAAGAAAGAAGGGGGGGAGGGAGAGTGGAAGAAAAAAGAAAGAATGGGGGAGGGAGGGAGGGTGGAAGGGAAGGGAAGGGAAGGGAAGGGAAGGAAGGAAGGAAGGAAGGAAGGAAGGACTTCATCATTAACTAATCAATTATACTTACCTGCTCATATTTTCATTCATTGTGAACAAGCCATACAGAAAACAAATGAACCCAACAATAGCAGCAAAGAATAGCATCTCAGTATAAAAACCCAACCAGGCAAAATAAATTCCAATCTTCTCTCCGTAATACTTCCTGCAAGAAAATAATCCAAGAAAAACAAAGGCAAAGCTCAAAATAAAAGGGAAAAATGTGGATATAATGTTCTAAGACATATCCCAAAGGAACTTATTCCTTTAAGCTTATTCACCCCTCAATACTCTAATACTGAATATCTATCTACATGTCTCTAAAATATATTGTCAACCTTCTATCTACTTTATTATGCATTTTCTTGTTTTTTTTTATATTAGTACTCTGCGTGCTTCAGTGTTTTGAAAAAGTGGCAACACAGAAATTCTTTGCTATCTATTAAAGTAGTTATTTTTCAAGAATCCTATATGAGAATCAAAAAAAATATGGAATTGCTTCAAGTTGTTAACTCTGTATTTGTTTGTCGACCATGGCAAATTTAAGACATGTAATCTTCAAAACCCAGAATTCTCCAACCAGCAATAATACTGTTCTATATTACTCTTAAAGCAAATACAGTTTTTTTTTCCTCGACTTGTGTGGAATCTAGGAAAGAGATAGACAGAAAAGTGCTGTGCTCATATATGGTGAAGCATGTCTTCCAA